TATTTGGCAATGATCAAAGGACTGTAGATGTCTAACAGGAGTTTGAAAGAGTAACCAGTGGTGTAATGTACACCACCACATCGCGGGGGGACCCAGGGTTCTAGGGGGCCCAAAGCCTAGCTGTCAACAAGTACCTACCTTTTGGAAATCCAATTTGGGGACCAACGACTTTACTTTGCTGGGGGTCCCAAATGTTCTCCGTTACGCCACTGAGAGTAAGCAAAACAAATATTTGGCCACTGAAGAGATTAATGCCATTGCATTGCAATTCATGATAAGAAGCTGTTGAGGTGAATTTGTCTGAAGAAAAGGAACTAATAGAAAAAAAAACAACAAAAAACTCTGTTGCAGCAAGAGAAATGCCGCTAGCACAGGTAAATTGTTGTAGTGTACGTTAAGAAGCTCATTACAATAAGTTCATGACCGTTATAAATTATTTCACCACTAGATCACTTCACCTTTACACCAGGTTTAGAAATGTCAGAAAAACAAGTATAGCTTGACAATTATCTAATTAAAAGATTTAAATATGCATCATTACTAATAAGCTATATATTTGGATTATTTTGTCCTCTGCAAGAGGTGAATTTGAATTCCAATTTGGTTAGTTTCAAAATAGAAGAAAATTTTAAGATGTTCCGCATTCTTTAATAAGTTCCTTGAACAAATGTTATACTTAAAAAATTTCAAATATTTTTATTCATGGAAATTATTATCTTTACTTTTTTTTTATAAATATGGGGATGTGGGTAGCCTAGGGGTTAAAACATCGGATTCCATACCGGAAGGCTTGGGTTCGATGCCCGATGCCACCAAATACCCTCCGAGTACACACGGGGTTGAGGCTCGTTAAATTAGTGCGTCCGAAAGTCTTGTGGGTGGTCTCAGCAGAAACCTCGGGTTCAGGGGACTGGAAAATATTTCCCTCCCCTCCAGTTCCATGCCTAAATTGTGGAGGTGGAGATATCTTGTATAAGTCCAACCCGTATCAGGCTCTGGCAACTTTCATTCTTTCCCTTCAGAAGAGACACAACAGAATATGGGAACAATTCTTTCGTTTAAAAGATGTTTTGCATTATGAGTTGTTGTTGCTTATGCCACCTGATCGACAGTAACATCAGATCAACGTCCACGAAATCCATCGCGGCTAAGGGCTAGAATCTTACGCCTGTCATTAGCCTAAGCTTTGAGCCCCCCCCAAGAGGGTGACAGTGCGATTTTGCACACGCAACACGAAAGATGGCGACACCGTTCGGACCCACAGATTTAACGAGCACGTTCTCCGATTTGTACTCGGCGGGCATTTGGTGGCATCGGTCATCGAACCCAGGCCTTCTGGTCTGGGGTCCGATGCTCTAACCACTAGGCTACCCACGGTCTGCATTACGAATAAGATTCTGGAGCGAATTATACTCATGAAGCGAAGTTCTACTTTAATTATAATGGATCACGACAAGAACTTATGTGCAACTACTAATAAAGTTCTTCCCACAATTATTTATTAGTATTTCCCTAATTATTTTCTAGTAAGTTTCTTTTTATAAGTACTTTTGTTACTTTTCACATATTACAGTATAAAATATAATTAAATTACAACTGTGTGTCAAACAAAACGTACTGTTCATCTCGTTTTAAGAATTTCGAATAGGTGAATCTTAATTAACATTTGTAACTAACTTCATTTCTTACTAAAGAATTTTTGAATAGTTGAAAGTTAAGATTAGAAAACAACCTAAAGTTTCTAAACTTGTTAAAGAGATCTCATGGACATTTTAATTTAAGAGTAAATATCCAATTTAAAAAAAACAAATATTTAAAAAAAATTACATGCTATAAGTAAAAATTTTCGCAAGCTGTTGCATCGAATTTTAAGAATTATGACATTTTTATAATGCCAAAGACGTATGTAAACTAAAACACTGAATGAAACATTTAACGCTGATTCATTTTTCGCCGTTTTATGCATATTCAATTAAAATTTAATACAAAATAATACACCCTATACATGCAATGAAGCATATACCATCCCTTTCGTATTTTAATTGAATAAGAGCTTAACGTTCTCAGCTTTTCTCTGTACTTTTTTCCCCATACAACTCTGTTTCTATAACTTTAAATACTAACATTACAAAAATTACTCCTTTTAAAATTATTTAAATTGTATTGTTTTTCAATTACCTAAAACAAAAGTCAAATGCTTATTTAGTACTTGAAAGAGTGTTAATATGCAACTTAAGTGTAATTACTTATAGGTTAAGTAATTAACAGTACATTAATACAAATTAATATGAACATTCTGCCATAAGAAGACATTTTCTAAAGCAAATAGTTACATAAAGGTAATCCTTAATGAATATCAAATTACTTCATTAATGTCTTCCTTAATGAAGATTTGTGTTCATTAACAGAACATCAAAGGTATTAATTCACCATTTCACTGACTCAAATAGATTTGGGTGTTTAACATCACAGATTAGGTAGAACTCTTCACCAGCTATAAATTTTATTACCCAGTAAATTGAATAAAGAAAATAATGTAGTAGCTTAATGCAGATATTTCTTGTATAATTACATGAATTTTAATTTGAAAGCAACTTCCAAATGGCTACTTAACTTTTAAGAAAAGTACATTGATTTCAGCAAATTTATGGGCTTTTTAAACTATCACTATTCATTTGAAATAGGAAATGAGACGTTAATTGGGTTGACATAAAAAAATGTATTTTTAAGTACTAATTTTGTAGATATTGAAATATTTATTTTTTATGCTTTTTTGAATATAGATAACTTAAATGGTAAAGATTTAAAATAAAATTATATTTTGAAAGGAATCACTTCACTAATTATGAAAAACTAATTCAAACCAATGGCAAAAAAAATAATAGATAGAGTCTTAACCCGGTAGTAGGCACGCATTCGATACCAGTGTTAATGGTCACGTGGGGTAACTAAGTAACCCAATTCTTTTTTTTAATAATTATTTTTATTGTACACGTACAAATCATAATTTTAGTAAATAATTTAAGCAGGAGAAAGTATATTTACCTACTTTACAGGAATTTTAATTTATTATCAATACTTTGAGAGAAAAACCAATCAAACTAAACGAAAATGTTACAAATGTGCGTGGTTTTTATAAAGGACACAAATCGCGGACACTTTTTGTTAACATTACAGGAATAATATTTGCAGGCAAAACTGTCGTATTTTGTTCAAGTTCTTGTAGTGTATTGTACTTTGATGATCGACAAATAGCATGAAGAACTTTTTCTCGCTTGTGTCTTTTTGACAGGATGCAGTGTGTCTTGTGTAAACTTGTCGCTTTACATTTTCCTTGATGGATTTTTTTAGGTAGCATTTGATAAAATTCCTTACAACTCAAACGTTTCATGTTCATCACCTTTCTCAAATTTACTTTCGCTATCAAGAATAATATCCATTATTACATCAGCTTCAACTTCATTGAATAGAGATCGCGATGATGCCCATTTCTTTCTTTATATTCTATTCATTTACATTATAAACCATAATGAGTCGTACAACACAGTAATCAAAAACACTAAGACGTTCACGGGGGGAAAATGTAGCCTTTTTAAAGAAAATGTTTTGGAACAAAAGTGTTCGCACGGGAAAATTACGTCATCTCCAGTACCTCGAGACTGAAAAATTGTTTGCCGTTCCCAAAAAAAGAAAATTATATGACAAAAATATTTTTATTTACATAAAAACTGTCATTTAGGAATATACTGACAAGAGGTCATTTGTAATAAATAAACAGTTTTCCCAGAAATAAAGATTTTGTGAGCCTGTGGTGACTCTGTGCCCTACGTGACCGTCCCGGATTAAAAGCATTTAAAAAAGGATTCATCACACTAAATATCTATAGTGGAAAATTTTTAAATGTACATATAATCCTTTCTAACGAAAAGGTTTTGGAGATCATATTGTTGTTTCTTCCAATGAAACCTGTTTGACGGCGTCAAATCTAGGCTCACGAAGTGCCTCGTGGCAAAGAGCTAGGGATTTACGTCTTTGGTTAGCTGCAGCTTTGAGCACCATACAGGTAGCAGTACAATTTGGCTCTATCCACCAAAGTTTTGAAGATAACCACCCTGGAAGTGGTCAAGAGCACCCATTTGTCTTCCTCTTCCACCAATCGCACGAGAATACTTGCGTCTCTACGTCTATTTAGAGTACCTCCATGCAGTCACTATACACTAACAAATATCTATGCATTCTCTGGGATTCGAACCCAGGCCCAAAGGCACAGCAATCAGCCTTACTAACAGGAGGAGCGGCATGGAGATCATATTAAAAGTACTTAATAATTGCTTCTTCAGAAATTATTTTATTTGATTAATTCTGTAAGTGAAAATCAATTTAGTAAATGTAAATTATTTCTAAAAATATTAAAAATTATAGTTTTTAATTACTTAAAATTTATGTAAAATATTCAGTTTTTATTATTCTTAATGATTTCAAAAGATTTGAGTCTTGGACTATAAGGGGGGAAAATCAGCATGGAGTTGAAAATAGGATTTCTAGAAAAAGAAATTTAATAATAGTTTTTACAGTTAAATTCAAAATAAGCTTAAAATATTTAGTTTCAGTTGTTAAAAGAACTACAATCCTAAGTATATCAAAAGTTTTGTAGAACACATACAAACACACACACAACAAACTCTCTCTCATTCACACACATAACAAACACACTCTCCTCACACACACACATATATATATATCAACAAAGAAAAAATTATTTTAGTCCCTTTTTATTAAATAGTTACAATTTATTTCAATATGCCTATACATGTGACAGATTCTCAATATTAAGTAACAAAATAGAAAGATATTTTCCTTGCAATTTTTCATTTTCCTTTTATATGTGATGTTGGATTATCTTTTTGTTTGTTTTTATATAATTTGTTTCATTTATATATTAAATTTAATTATTTTAATAAAATAGAGTAGTAAAACAAACACATTCTCAGAAATTAGGCTATCCCAGGTGGGATTCGAACCCACGACCTTTGGATTAGAAATCCAACGCACTTTCTATTGAGCTACAGGGACACAAGGAACGTTTTTACTTTCTATATATCCTGTTGGACTATTATTTTTGTTAGTTATATTTTTTTTTATTTATTAAAGAATATTATTTGAAAACACTGTATTAATATCAAATGTCATCCACTACAAGCTTAAAAAATATATATTTGAACTTGAACGGATGAATAGAAAGTATTTTATTAATGATTGGAAATTTGAACAAGATATATATATATATATATATACATATATGTATGTATATATATATACATATATGTATGTATATATATACATATATATATGTATATATATGATGCATATATATAATACATACATATGTATATATATATATATATATATATGTATGTATATATTGGGAGAATATGAATTATAATAGTAGGAATTGAAAAATAAAGAGATTCTTAAGAAAAAGAAATACATCGAATAAAACTAAAGTTAGAGAATATAACATTTAAAATTCAGTGTCGCGGCACACAGGAAATTACAAATATCACCTAAAATAATTGTATATTAGGTCTAAAATCCGCAAAAAACTTCCCATACGAATGGATCATCTAGACGTACACACAGAAAAAGATATTTAATATTTTTTAAAAATATTTAGTGTACAATCCTAGTTAACCAATATTGAAAAATTTACTGCATTTTCTTACTCTTTCAAAAGAAAACCTTTATTAGTGATAATTGATGTTTTCCTCAGAAGATATTATTATATTTTACCAAATATTTAATTTTAAATCAAATATTTTTTTTAAATTTTAGTACTGTGGTTGGTTAGTTGAGCACAGATTATAAAATCAACCAAATGTGATATTAGTCCCAAATGAAATTGCGTGAAAATGTACGTAACATTTGTGTTTCATTTCATTTGTGCATATTTTGTGTCATCTGTTAAAGATTGTTCGCTAGATGAGATTTTCGTTTAGTTGACCGAAAAGTACGATCATTTCTAAATCACCACAAATAAAAAATTAATACATTTTTGGCTTGAATTTCTTATTATTTATTTTTACTCCAAATCATAACTCGCCTATCATAATATTTTACCATGACATCAGTAGGAATTATAGCACAAATTTTGTTTTCAAATACCCTTCCTTCGAAATTTCTTTCATGTCATCCCCATGTCGTATTTTCAAAAAACTTTTCTCAATTCACTTGCGTGAGCATTTCCTCGACAGCTGTTTCCGTTTAAAAGAAAATGACTTCAAAGACGGAATATATCCCTGTTTTCATCCCCTCCATTTCCGCTTTAGATATCATCGCGCGTTTAACTGATAAAAGAAATTATTGAATTTTAAATCAGAAAATTTATACCAAGGAGTTTTAGAATTTTTTAGATAAAAGCCCAACATGCAGTGATAATCTTTTTACTATTAGTTTTAGTTCATTTCAGCAGATTTATTTCTCAAGCATAGGATTTTAAGTCACTATGTTGTTATAAAAGAAATATTGGGGGGAAAAATAAGAACTATAACATACATTCAAACTACGTCCATATTGTAGACGTATAGGTTAGAAAATGAAAGAATAAAAAGTAATTCGAATATTTCTTTGGTTTTACTGAAAGCCATTTGATTCCATTTTCCGTGGATGTTGATATTCAAATAGATCTTCGAGTTTAAATCCTATTTGTTTAAGATACACACCAGCCGAAATTCGAAGACATTAAAAGTATTAGTGAGTGAATGTTTATTAATGACGTACTCTAGGACAACACGAGGGCTGTTGGTGACGGATTTCTTAATTTTGAACCACAGCCAAGGAGTGAGGACGATAGATGAATTGATTTGCTCGCTCTCCTAACTTTCAACGTGAGGACTTTTGGCTATAAAAGCTATAACTATATAAAAGCTTTTAGCTATACATGATGAGTTTTCAGTCACGGCATCAGGACTTGAAACCAGGACAAAGCCAGCAATGAGTTCATGATCATGAACACTAGGTAACCTCGGCTACTAGCTACGTTAACCGAAATTGGATGCCTTAAGGCTCTTATATTATGTGGTGGGGAATTTAGAAAAATAATCTACCATTTCAGGTTTTACCCTCGACGCTTGTCCATGCTCTAGAAATACTAAATCCATCAAAAATATCCAATTCATGTACAAAGGCATCTTGAGGCATGTGCCAAATGGGCTCTCCACCGCAATGGGATCCTCGTCTCGTTTTCGAATCAGCCTTAATAAGATCATAATTCGAATAATTTCAACAGTCAAATATTATTTCTGGTTGTGTTCTCTGAAAAACTGGGAATTTCGAGCGATATGTCAACTGACTACATGTAATGACCATTGTCCACGTACAGGCCTAGGCCTAACCACCATACACCACATTACTCAGTTATTCGAGACGATTTTTGTGAGTGTAAGTCATACACTCTTATTTGTTTTGGGTTGTTATTTGTACGAGTATTTCACAACGAATGTTATGTACTGCTTACTTTTAAGGCTTATTGGTGGGTCATATATTTGTCTAGATGACCAGGTCCTACATTTGAGTTATAGCCAAGGGCCGCAAGAAGTCTTAAGGCGTCCCTGTTCATGTACTTCAAGAGCAACCAGACTGGTGTGATTTAACCACAAAAAGATAGCGTATGACATGCTCAATTGTTAACATTAATTTACTGTGTAAGCTAACTGACAGCGCTGTCACGTAAGCATATCTACTTTTTTAATTGAAATGAGGGATAAAATCTACTCTCGAATAAATCAATAATTTTTTTAAAAAACCTTTTAGTTGAAGTTTGCGTACTTATAATTACACTAACAAAAAAACAAAAACAAAAAACGACGCACCAAGAACGAGTTGTCCGATAGAAACAAAAATTGGTGGGTAGAAAAATTATGTACCTAATAGAAAATTATTAAAATTTCAGAAAAGTTGACGGATTCATTTCAGAGTTAGATTGTTACAAAATAACGAGCTCAGTAAGGTGTTGACCCTCCTCTAGCCTGGACTCAAACTGCCACGTGACGTGGCATAGAGTGATAAAGCACCCTATTGGTCCCCTGTGGTGTTTCTTTCCAAATTTGCTCTAATTGTTGGGCCAGCTCATCAACATTCCCTGTTTGATGCAGTCGTCTACCCATCATGTCCCGGAAATGCTCGATTGGAGAGAGATCTTGTGATCTGACTGGACAAGGAAGTGTTTGACAATCTCTAAGACATGGTTCGGTAACTGGTCTGGCATTATTTTGCTGAAAAATAAGGCCTGGGTACTGCAAATGAACAGTAGCAAAACAGTTCTTAAAATATCGTCGATATACCGCTGTGTTGTAAGTGTAGCTCTAATGACGATGAAAGAGGTCCGGCTGTCAAAAGAAATGGTATCTTAGACCTGGCTCCTAGTTGGGGGCCTGTGTGGCATGCAATAGTAAAAGCAGGATCGGCACGCTGGCCTGGGCGTCTCCATACGTCCCTAGTCAGCATGATTCCAACCTGATCGAGCCAAGCACCACTGTAATCTGGCTCGACAGCGTGCAGGTGTGAGTGGCAGGTGGCGTACCAGTCGTAACAAGCGTAAATTTCGCTCTATCAGTCGTCTGTGAATGGTCATGGTGGACACTCGTGTGCGAGTCTACACCACGTTTGATGGTTGATAACGATAAATCAGGTGCTGTTACAGCTGATCTCACAATCAATATGTCCTCTGATCTGATGTGGCCCTAGGTCCACCGCTACCATCATGATACTGAAGTCTAGCATTGTCCGCTAATTCTTGCCACCATCTGCAAATGTTCGCATCGCTTCGACCCATATGATGAGCGATTCTCCGATTTGCCCATCCTGCCTCTTTCAATCTAATGATACGACTTATTTGAAAATCTGACATTTGCTCGTAATGAGCTCAAATCCTGCGAAGAGGCATTTTTTTCAGTCGTTGAAAGGTATCGTAAATCACAATGAAACAGAAATTTTGATCATCAGATTGAGAATCGCTTTTAATAGACACCTGCTGAGTGTGCAGTTCCGATGTGCTGTAGCTCCTGCTATTCATTCAATGGACACCAAATTTTAATCAATTGCATGATCGGTACAAATGGCATTGCATACGAAATTGAGCAATTCCTTCTTGGTACTTTTTTTTGTTATAGGGTGTATATGATTAGTTTTATTCCTTGTCCAATATATATATATACAGAACGATGTTTAATATTAATTTGTAAGTAGCTTTTTTAGAAGTTCGGTTAGTTTGATAAAAGAAATGTATAAAAAAATGTGCAACTGTATTGTATGGGGAAAATGAGATTTGAATATTTTGTGACCCTAAATTTCATTCCCAATGTAGCGGAAACAGAGGAAGTAATTTAACTTTTGACTTCCAAATGACTTTCATTCCAATTTTAGAAGTTACACTCATAGAATACCATATATAAAGTAGAATTATTGTCTGAAGAGATTTGCACATTGAACTTAGCACATATTTGGCAAAGAAACGAGTCCAGTTGCAAAGAGAGCATCTGTTTAAATGTAAAATTTTTAGTAAAATACATAATATACGCTATCTTCGGCTTTATTTTAATTTAAACAACTCCTATTTACAATTTTATCTTTAAACTAAAATGTATTCCACCTGTTGAAGTTTTTAGAAAATTCTAAAAAAAATAATAAACTTAGATACAAAACGTAGAAAGGCTCGTATGTACAAATTATCTTAGATTTTAGAACAACAGTCGCAGAATCTTAGAACTTCATGGACCACTAAATGTATGATTTTATCTTTGATGGACCACTAATACTATTGACCACTTTATGGAGAACTTCTATATGTGTATATAAAACCACTAATATATATTTTTTTCATTTTCCCTATGGGCTGCATATTAGCAACTAAGCCTTTACAGACACGGCAAATCCATAAGAGTGGAAGCCGTTTCATTGGTGGAACTACCTAGTGTTGCGGCGTCCACTACCAAACTGTGTGATTTGAATTAAATCAATAAAACTCTTTGATTAATATATAGTGGACCACCACAACTATATTCTCACTTATTTACATT